GTAAGATGCTCTCCAGCCCTAAATCCTTTGGTCCCTAGACTAAGAACAGTCACATCCAAGCCAACAAGCACAGAGGCCGTTCTGACTACGTGCAGTGCACTGTGGGAGGTTCTGGGGCTACCTAGACAAAAATCGGTCCTCACCCTCAAGGAACTGATGTTCTAGGTGAGGGGGGTCAGGAAGCAAGAGGAGAAAGCTTCATTCGGGGAGGGGTGTGAAGGGAAAGCATTCCAGGCAGTAGGCATAAGCCTGAGGAAAGGCCGGAGAGGACGGGCAGACCCAGATGGGCCATCAAGCAAGGGGTCTGCTCTGGGTGGAGCAGTTAATTGGGGCAAGGAGTGAGAAGGGTAGAGTGTGTGTGTGTGTGTGTGTGTGTGTGTGTGAGAGAGACAGAGACACAGAGAGACACACACACACCCAGAAAGACACACACACACACACACACACACAGAGTGAGCTGGAGAAGGAGGCTCAGTAATTCAGGACATTAAAAAACAGATGGGGGCAGCTAGGTGGTGCAGTGCATAGAGCACTGGCTCTGGAGTCAGGAGGACTTGAGTTCAAATGTGACCTCAGACACTTGACACGTACTAGCTGTGTGACCCTGGGCAAGTCACTTAACCCCGATTGCCTCACCAAAAAGCAAAAAAACAAAGACAAAAACAGATAATGAAGCATCAAACCCCACCTCTTAGGAGAGAGAAGTGGTGAACAGTGGGTACAGAATGAGGCATACATTTTCACATGCAGCCAGTACAGTGATTTATTTTGCTTGTTTTTGCTTCTCAGTTACAAGGGAGATTATGGGGGCAGGGGGGGTTATGGGAAAGTGACAGTTACATAAAAAGGCCACATGAAACATTTTAAAAGGGGGGAGAGATAGATTTCATAGACTTTAGAGCTGGAAGGGACATTTGTGGTCATCTTATGTAGATGAGGTAACAGGCCAAGAAAAGTGAAGGGTCCTGCCTCAAGGTCACACTTGGATTAGTAGCAGAGCCAAAATATGGCTCCACATTGTCTTCCTTCCATATTCCTCACACTTCAGTGTCTGAGAGCAATTCTCTTGCATATTCTCTCTGTTTGTCTGTGTCTGTGTCCCTCTGTGTCTCTGTCGCTCTGTGTCTCGGTCTCTCTGTGTCTCTGTTTCTCTCTGTCTCTCTCTATGTCTCTCTTTTATTTTCAGGTATTCCTTTCCCTCAGCCTAGGGCCAGATTGTGTTATACCTGTCCTTCAATAGGTAGAAAGCACTTAGCACAGTGCCTAGCACATAGTAGGTGCTATGTTATTAAATACTTATTCCCTTCCTTACCCTCTGCACCAGGGAGACTAGGGAGCTTGCATTTTTATCCCTTCCTATGTTAGAGATAGGGATTCCTGGGAGCCAGATCTTGTATCTTTCTTCTGGAGAGGGCCCAGGGGCCTTGAAACACTGGGGCTGGAGGCCAGGTGGGCTTCCTGGAGATTCACTTGGAAGAAAAGTCTGCCTTCCTGTTCTCACTGTGTCTGCCCCACTGGAGGCAGCCATTCCAACATGGTGCCATGGAGAGGGCAGGATTTGGGGTCCCAGGACCTGCACCTCCGTCCTGGCCCTATCACTTCTTGCCTGTGTGACCTCAGGCAGGTCACTTTACCCACACTTTTGGGCCTTGATTTGCTCATCTGCAGTAATAGCCAGCTTTTCTGTAATTGGCATGTTACAAATGTTGCCTTATTTTATCCTTAAAACAGCCCTGGGAGATAGGTGTTATCATTATCCCCATTTTACAGATCTGTATAATAAGGAGGTCAAACTAGGTGGCCTCGGTAGTTTCTTCTATCTAGAAATCTTGGTTCCTCTGAATTACTTCCTCATAGCTTCCCTATCGGACACCCAGTAATCCTGACAAGCCACCTGCTTCCCCTCCCCAAGAGCAGCAGGAAACAAAACTGGTTCAGAGGTTGAAAACAAGAATGTCTTCAATCACTCAATCAGCAAGCATTTATTAAGTGCCTGCTGTATATCTGGTACTACACCAGAGGAAATGGGCATCCTCCTCAGTCTCCACAAATGAATGGGGGAGTTGGGGTGCGCAGGGAGGCGCACAGTCTTTTTCCAGACCCAGGGGAGACACTCCTAGCTGTGTGACCCTGGGCAGGGGACGGGGCTCTCTACGCCTAGTTCCTCTTCTAGGAAATGGGGGTGACTAGAACAAGACTGCCTTCCCCGGGTGAGGCTCAGTTGAGGTAACATGAGGCAAGCGCTTTGCCAACCAGTCAACACCAATCAAGTGCTTTATGAGTATGACCAGTTACTGGTTTTGTGCTGGATCTCAGCAGGATGAGTCTGAAGGGAAGCGTGGAGTAGTGGGAAGAAGCCTGTGTCCACAGTCAGGAGACCTGGCTTTGAGTCCAGCGGGCCAGGGCTCCTGGGTGCAGTGAGGCTGATGCTGCCCCCTTGGCCTGCCTTTGGCCTATTCCGTGGGGCTCTTGGGGAGGCTTGGGTGTGGCTTCCGTGGGATGGGCCACAGTGATAAGGCAGGGGAACTGGGGATCCCTGTTGGGGTGCTGGTTGGACTGGGTGCCCCCCCCAGTCCTTTCCTGCTCTGAGAGGTCACAATTCTGGGCGTAACCGGCCCCCGCTGCCCCCCACACACTGTTGCTCTTGCCTTGGTTCCTGCCTGGCCTTTGTGGGGGCGTGCTTGGATGCCCTGCCTTATCCCTGTGCTAGACTGAAAGCTCTGTTTTCCCTCCAGCCCCAGGTCATGTAACTGTGGTAACTGGTGCTTAGCAAATAAATGTCTGTTGACTGGAATGAATGGGAGAGGGTGTGAGTGAATGAATGGAGTTAGAATGGGAATGTGTTTCATAAAGTCGGAATTGGTATGCAAAGGTATGTCAGGTAGGGCTTGGTTGAAAGAGGGTAGGACTAAGAGGCAGGAGACCCCGGTCCTCCTTGCGTTGCCTTGGCCAAGTCAGCTCCCCTCCCTGAGCCTCAGTTTACTCATCTGTAAAATGAAGAGGGTGGGACTAATCTTTAAGGTCCATTCCAACTGTAAATCCTGTGGTTTAAAAAAACAAAACGAAGTGCCTTAAAATTATAATTTTCAAGCTTGGCTCCCCAAGAAAGGTATGAGAAAGCACTTCCTTCTTTTCTTTTGCAGAAGTGTGGGATGGAGGGTACAGAACGTTGCATGTAACATCAGATTCGCTTTGCTGGACTGGGGTGATTTTTTTCTTTGTTGTAGGAGGTGACTTTCTGGGAGACAGAATGGGGAGAGATGTATCTGGAAACCAAGGTGATATTTTAGAGAGATGGAGACTTTTTTTCTTTAATCCTCTGTTCCTGTGGTACCGTAGACAGGATAGTCACTGCCCTGTCATGGCTATGACAGAGACTCATTGTGGTTGAGTGGAAGATATGTTTGCTTTGGTGATAAAGGACCTGGATTTGAATTCTGATTCTATTCCCTTACTACCTATGTGACCTTGGATAAGTCACACTTCTCCAGGCCCCAGTTTCTTCATCTACGTGATGAGGGATTGGAGAGGTCCCTTTGAATTCCAAGTCTAGGACCCTGTGACACTCCATGGAAGGAGTCCACATTTCTTTAGCTCTTACTGTGCTAACACTACCACCACCTATGCCCCCCAAAAGAGAAGTCAGGCAGCTGGAAGGATTCCACTCCACAGCAAGGGGGATTTGGTCTGCCCATTTAAAAAGACTCCCCAGCTAGAGAAGCCAGCAAAGCATAAAGCCGATGCCAGAGATTTTGGGGGCTGCTCTGCAGAAAAGGACTTTCTTTCTGGGCTGTTTGAGAGGCAGGAGACTGGATGCCTTGACCTTGCAGGTCCCTCTCTATGTAGAAGCTGATACTTGGCTAGGGCATTCTGTTCCTGTGGGGGCATTTTTCCTCTGCTCCAGACACACAGGAGAGAGCACTGGTGCGGGAGGGGTGAGAGGGTTTCAGAGGAAAGTGGGCTGCTCTCGTGCCCTTTGACTGTAAGGGACAGGGACACAGCTCTTGGCCTCCTCAATGGAAAATGACTCATGAGCTAAACTGACCCAAGCAAGTGACAGCATCAGGCCCCCAGCTTGGCTCCTGGACCTCTTTAAGGGATAGACCAGGAGACCTCATTCTCCTCCAAGCACCCTTTGTCCTCTGGTCCTGAGCAGTTTCCTCATGAGGCCTTAGGGCACTTCATCTGACCTAGGCTTTCTGGGGAGCCTCCCTGAGTCCTGAGCTTTTTCTCCCTCCAGCAGTGACTTGGGACTGAATGTACGCGTTCATAATGGTTTGAGACCCTACTACAGAGGATGCCTCAGGCACTTGATAGCTTTTTGAATGAGCAAACCTCTGTCTGCCTCACTCTGCTCATCTGTGAAATGAGAGGGTTGGGCTTGGAGTCCTTTGAGGACCTAAATCTGTGATCCTGTGATCCTGTGATCCCAGCATCTCCTATCTATCTATGCTTGACTTGGGACTATAGCCAAGTCATTTAGCCTCTCTGAGCCTCAGTTTCCTTGACTGTATCTGTGTCCCCTTCCTTAGGGGAAGGAGCATCCCATGCAGGTTACATTTCCACAGTGCTCTGCACCCAGTGAGCTCAGAATCCATTTCTCTTCCCTTCTATGGTGTCTCCGGGGCGGGTGAACCCCTGCTTCTTCCATCTAATATCTCCTATTTAGCTGTGACCTTGAGTGAGTCATAGAGGAACAGAATCGTCACATTCAGAATTGAAAGAGACCTCAAAGGACACGTAGCCCAACCCCCTCCCTTTGTAGAGGTGGAAAGTGAGGCTTGGAGAGGAGAAAGGACCTTGCCAAGGTCTCCCTGGTGGTAGGCCGCAGAGTGGTGGTTTGGGTGCAGAGGGAGTCAGACTCCCTGCTGTGATTGAGAGGAGGTGTTGTCTCCACTCCCTCGTGCTGCCTGCTTTTGGGGCGCCTCGACCTTCCTTTCCTAACTCGTGGGGCCGCTGTGGGCAGAGAAACATGAGCTCCTCTTGTTCTTCTCCTGCAGGTTTCCACGTGATCCCCACCATCTCCAACATCGTCCCCGAGAGCTGCCTGCTGATCGTGGTGGGGCTGCTGGTGGGGGGCCTGATTAAAGGGGTCGGGGAGAGCCCGCCCGTCCTGGAGTCGAAGATCTTTTTCCTCTTCCTCTTGCCCCCCATCATCCTGGATGCTGGCTACTTCCTGCCCCTGCGCCCATTCACAGAGAACCTGGGCACCATCCTGATATTCGCCGTGGTGGGCACGCTGTGGAATGCCTTCTTCCTCGGTGGGCTCATGTACGCCGTGTGCATGGTCGGGGGCCCCCAAATCAATGAGATCGGCCTCCTGGAGAACCTGCTGTTTGGCAGCATCATCTCAGCCGTGGACCCCGTTGCCGTGCTGGCCGTGTTTGAGGAAATCCACATCAATGAGCTGCTGCACATCCTCGTGTTCGGGGAGTCCCTGCTCAATGACGCTGTCACCGTTGTGAGTGTGGGGATGGGGCATGGGGGGAGGCCCTTCCAAACCAACCCAGATTCAGACACGCACGTGTACCCAAGGCGAGGCCCTGCTCTTGGCGTTGGAGATACAACGAGACATGAGGCGTAACTGATCTCAAGGACCTTATGGTCCAATGGGGAAGGAGTTGGTACCCAAGGGCAGGAGGAAATTATGTGCCGAGGAGAGCTCTTTCTTTGGGGCTGGGGGAGTTGGGCACGGTTTCCTGGAGGAGGAAGGAACTACACTGGGTCTTGAAAGAAGTCAAGAAAAAGACTCTTGGTTGTGGTCATGGGGGATGGAAGAGCTGTCAGGCAGGAGAGGGCAGGATGAGAAACACCGATGGAGAATAAGCCACTTGGACTGGAACATCCTGTGTATGTGGGAGAGAAGGCCTCCCAGGGCTCGCGGAGCCGGCAGACAGGAAAGGGCTTTGCTGTCACAGGAGGATCGTAGGCAAGAGCTTAGCCATGATTTGTACAGTGGAGTGAAGGATAGGTTCAAGAGGGGATCAACTGGAGGCCAAAGTGTAGTTAGCAGGCCCTTACACAGGCATGGCCTGAGCTTGGAGGGGAGGGAGGAGGAGATGTTCCGGAAGTAGTAGAACAGCCGGGATTTGGAAGCTGATTGCTGTACAGGGATGTATACCCTCTCCTGTGCTCCAGGAGGGCTACCAGCGTTTGAGTCCTTGCAGAGGACCCGAAGCTGTCAGGGATAGTGAACAGTTCGGAACACGAGACTCAAATCCCCAAAAGATCTCAGCAGGCTGCAACACTTGGCCTAGTCCAGTGAACCCAGACAATGGGACAGAGATGAAGGCAGTGGTGATAGTCCTTTCTGGCATCTTCTGCCTGGTCTGACCACCATCGCCCTGGACGGGCGCTGCTTTCTAGGGAGGAGACGCACAGAAGCAGGTATGAGCTCCAGCGGGCAGCAACTGCAATAGAAACATGTCATAAGCAGGCTAGTTGAAGAAATTTGGGGTATTTGATGCAGAGAGAGAGAGAAGACTTCTTGGAAATATCATCACTATTTTCAGATATTTGGAAGGCCGTCATGTAAGATCACATATTCTGCAAGGCCCCCTTATTAGGGAAGGTTACCCAGAGATGCAGTTTTTGCTCAGATACTTAATGGTTCGAGCTATCCAAGAGTGGAATGGGCAGCTTTTGGGGGTAGAGTTCCCCATCTTTAAAGGTGTTCAGGCGAAAACTGTTCAGTCTCTTGTTAGGGATGTTGAGCAGAGACAGAGAGATGGTGCCTGGGGTATGGGCTGGGTCAGATGCTTTCTCATCTCCTTGCTGGAATCCTTTCCTGGACTCACTCTCCAGGAGGAAAGAACACGTGTCCCTCTGCCTTCTCTCCACTTCTTATCTCTGCCCCAGGAGCTGGAGCACTCAGGAAGGACAGTAGTATGTGGCTGACCACAGCCTTCACTTCCCCTTGTTCAATGCTCCAAACTCACAGTGGAGAGGCTTTGGCCTTAGGCCTTCCAGGGCTGCTCTAGGAAGGAGCCCCTGCAGAGGGATGACAGCCAGAGACCCCTCGAGTCTCTGAGCAGGCCTGCATCATGGAAGCCTGAGGTTCAATCATAGCTTAGCCACGGTGAGAGGGGAAACTTGCCCCTGGGAACATAGGATGAAGAAACTGCTTGTGTCCCTAGACACCCACAGAAGAAATGAGAGGGTTGTATAGAAAGAAAGAGAAAGGTGGGGAGCACTCAGCCCCAGGGGTAGGTGGGCTTTGGTGAGGGGCAGCAGGGTCGCTTAGAGCTCATTGCTCTCTTACCCCTCCTCCCAGAGTCACTGAGGCCGTGACCAGGAGCACAAACACACAATCAGAAGAGAATTTATTTGGCAGAGAGACTGTAGCTTCCAGGCAGAGCCCTGCCCAGTTTAGGGAAAAAAAGCCCCACCCTGCTAATTTCCCCATGTTGGACTGGAGTTGGGAGATTTGGCTTCTCATCCCTGCTTAACCCTTAATTTATTATGTGACCTTGTGAAGCTTCCATGTCCTCATCTGTCAAATGGGCGTCAGCAGCAGCGATGCTGTGATAGAGAGACCTCTTGGACCAGGGGTGGGGAACCTGTGGCCTTGAGGCCACATGTGGCCTTCTAGATCCTTAAGTGTGGCCTTTTGACTGAATCCAAATTTTCCAGAACAAAAAGGGCTCTAGAAGGCCACAGGTTCCCCACCCCTGCCCTTTGTGACTTCTTAGTTATGTATCCTTAGGGGTCACTTCCCCTCTCTGGGCCTCAGTTTCCTCATCTGTAAAATGAAGTTAGACTATGAATGAAATGCCGGTGTGACTTGCCCCTTTTACTAGACATGCTTTTGTTCCAGCCTCTGTGATCCAGAGATGGAGCTCAGTAAAGTTGGACCTGAGGGATGTTGACCGTGGGGAGGGAGCCCTGGGTTTACAGGCAGAGGGCCTCCGTGTACATGTAGGAGAGCTAGAAGAAGCCTTCAGAGACTCCCTGGGCCAAAGCCTGACCTCTGCTAACATAAGTCACAACTGCGCTTAAAAACACTTGAGTCCTCAATGATGTTGAAATAAGCTGCCACACGTGGCTGAGCGCTCACCAGCCCCCGAAGCTCACTGCCCAGGGCATAGGAAGAGGATTTGCATCCCCATTCTGAGCAACCTGACCCCAGCCAAGGGACCAGAAGTCCTTCTTTCACAGGGGAAGGACACGAAAGAACACAGTTAATTCAGGAGCCAGGGTGCGCTCAGCAAGCAACCTAGCTGGTCCCGGCATCCCCTTTTTCTAACTCTTACCGTCAGGGACAGACTCAGTTTGTTGGACTTTTTGCTAATTTCCCTAAAATGTTTGTATATATTTTTTGAAGGAGAACAGGCCACAAATGAATGTGATTACCCTGGGGGGGACATGAGATTAGGCGAGATGATCTCTAAAGGCCCTCCCAGGCCTTGTAACCTGCTCAGCCCACCCCTGCCCATGGAGCTCCCAGGATTATGTTGTGAGGGCCGGGTAGAATCCCTCTGGATCGTGGCAGGTCCTGAGGATCACAGGACTCATCTGGAGAAGATCTTAGACACCAGCTAGCACAGCCATGTTACAAACGAGGAACCTTGAACCTCAGAGAGGAGAAATTGCATGTCTAAAATCATGCGGGTAGTCACTTGTGGGGCCTCTGTTTCAGGGCCTCCAACTCTAATTCTTCTCTTTTTAACCTATGCCACCCTGCCTTAGAATTATAAAGTACTAAACAGATGACAGGTGAAGAAATGGCCTCTGTTACTGCCATTGATACTGATTTTTTTCACCTGGTGGTGTAGTGGCTAGCATGCTGAGCTTGGAGTCAGGAAGACCTGAGTTCAAATGTGACCTCAGTCACTTCCTAGCTATGTGACTCTGGCAAGTCACTTAACCACTGTTTGCCTCAGTTTCCTCAACTGTAAAATAGGGATCATAATAGCCCCTACCTCCCGGGGTTGTTGCAAGGATCAAATGAGATAATAATTGTAAGGTGCTTAGCACAGTGCCTGGCACATGGTGGGTACTAGATATAGAAATGTTTATTCCCTATTCTAGGAACAGAATCCTATTCTAGAGGCCATCTGGAAAGAGAATCTCAGAATGTCAGAGCTAGAAGGGTCCCTGGAACGTAGAATGTTAAAGTAAATGAGATGGTTAATCTAGATGATCCTAGAGATCCATTGCAGCTCTAAATCTATAGAATGTAAAGGTTGTAAGAGACCTTAGAAACTTAAATTAGCTCTGGAAGGGACCTTAGATCACAAAATGTCACAATTGAGAGGACCTTAGAACCCAGGATGTCAGAACTGGGAGGGCCCTTAGAACCCAGAATGTCACAGCTGGGATGGACCTTAGAACCCAGAATGTCACAGCTGGGAGGGACCTTAGAACCCAGAATGTCAGAGCTAGAAATAAAGCATTCAGTTCAACTCCCTCATTTTACAGAGAAGCATCCAGAAACCCAGAAGGAGAAAGGGATTTGTCCGAGGTGATAAAACTAGTTAGTGGCAGAGAGAAGCCCAGTGCCCAGCTCTCTGGCCCCGGCCTAGCCCCCTTCCCAGCAGGGCAGGCACACCTGTCCTCTTTGCTGAGCTTTGCCCCCGGCCTCCCCAGGTGCTGTACCATCTCTTTGAAGAATTTGCCGGCATTGACCAAGTGACGCTCGTCGACATCGTCCTGGGCTTCCTGAGCTTCTTCGTGGTCTCGCTGGGGGGGGTGTTTGTGGGGGTGGTCTACGGCATCATCGCGGCCTTCACCTCCCGCTTCACCTCCCACATCCGGGTCATCGAGCCGCTCTTCGTCTTCCTCTACAGCTACATGGCTTACCTGTCAGCTGAGCTCTTTCACCTGTCTGGCATCATGGCGTGAGTCCCTGGGCCTGGGGCTCCCTCTCACCTGCTTTGGGGGGAGGCTGCCTTCTCCCTGAGTGCTTAGTACATTGTTTGCGGACCTGACATAGCCAAGTAAGAGACCTTGTGGCCCAGCCTCTAGCTACACTCCCTAGTGGCCACAGGTAAATAGGATACAAGTTTTCATGCAGCAACGTGTGTTCCCAAAGTCTAGGGGGACAGGGTCACTCAACTTCAAGTGGTTGAAAGTAGAGGGTTATGGTTGCCTACGAAGGTAGGACCCAAGTCCCATGCTTGCAATGACCCTTAAGGGTGGCACTTAGGTTAGTGAGGGGCGCAGCATGAGCAGATATCCCAGGAGTCGGAGTTGGCACGGCCCCCTCATTTTACAGATCAAGAAACTGAGACCCCAGGAGGGTAAGTAACTTGGCCAAGGTCATACGGGTAGTGAGTGATAGAATCTCTGGCTTCTCATCTACTACCGAATGACTAGGAGATGTTGAGGAAGGCTTTGAGTGGGGAGGTCGCCGCGTAGTGTGAGCGGAAATCATATTTTAACTGGTGCTAGAGATGAAGTTTGATAAGTTCCATTCAGCAAGCATTTATTAGTTGCCTATGGTGTGCCCAGCCCAGTGCTAGGCCCCGAGAATACAAAGACAAAATGGTTCCTACCTTGAGGGAGAGGGGTGGAATACATGTGTCTTCAGAGTAATAATAACAACAATAATAATAATAACTAGCATTTATATGTGTTTTAAGATTTGCAAAGCATTTTATGTCTCGTTTGAGCCTGACAACAACCCCAGGAGGTATTTTGCAGAAAAGGAAGCTGAGGCTGCCCTGCTGGTGTGAGGCAGAATTTGAATTTGGGTCTTCCTGGTTCCCAATCCAGTACTCTCCCACTGCACGTCAATACAAAGTGTACACCATGTGATTCCAGAGCAGGGAGAGTGTCCTAGCAAGCTGAGGGATGAGAAAGGGCCTTGCAGAGGCGGGAGTGCCTGCCTTGAAGCCAGCCAGGGGTTCCATGAGGCAGAGGTGAGCAAGGGGAGCTGTTCTAGGGATGGGGACTCACGTGGGCCCCCAAATGTCTGTAGGTGGAGGTGCAGAGCTAGCCAGTTGGCCTGCAATGGCGAGTGTGTGAAGGGCAGTCCTACAAATAGGACCAGAGTGGTAGCTGGGAGCCAGGTTCTGGAGGCCTTTCAGTGCCAGGCCAGACATTGTATTTTATCCCAATGCCATTGGAGGTCTTTTAGTTGGGGGCATGGGCTGTGGTCTGATCTTAAGAGACAAGGAGAGCCTGAGCTTGAAAGAGCTGAGTCAGAGGATCTGGGTTCAGATCCTGACTCTGTGATTTACTAACCTGTGTGGCCTTGGGTAAGTCCCTTTCTTTCCTCTGTGCCTTAGTTTTTCTCATCTGTAAAATAAAGAGGTCAACCTTGACCCCTAAAGGTCTGTCCAGCACAAATCTGTGGTCCAGAGATTCCTGGGTGGTGGCTATCTGAGTAGAGAGAAGGGGCGAGGTGCAAGAAAAGTAGACGTAGGAGAGCCTCGGTTGACTGATGGATACAGGGATGGGTTGAGGGAGCAGGAATCATGACCAGCTCCAAGCTTGCAAGCCTGGGTGTCCCGGGAGAAGGAAGGATCCTCTCAGGAGGAGCTGTAGAGGACTTTGGATGGCATTTGAGGCAGATCCTTTTGCTAGTCTACCGTACAGGAAGCCAGTAGGAAAATGCCCCCAGTGCTACCCCTGACTAAGGGGAAAGAGTGGTCCTGCCCTTGGAGAGCCTGTGGTCTGGGCCTCTCCTGAGGAGGGTGACAGAACCCCACAGGGGAGAGGCATGAGCGGCCAGAAGAGGCATGCTTTCTTGGTGGGAGGGGCTTTGAGGGTCAGGGAGCATGTCGGGACCAACAGAGCCGATTAGGGCTCCTGTGGGAAGGTTCCTCCAGGACTGGCGACCCATAGTGCCCATCACCCTGGTGGAATGTTCTCTAGGGCTGTCGTCTCCATTTACAGAATGGAAGCTTTTCAAGGGCAGGAAAGACTTCGATTTTGTCTGGGACATTATGTGGCACGTGACAAGTGCTTGTTGAGTTAGGTTGGATTTGAGCAGAAGAGAGTGGAAAGGATGACCGGGACAGTGATCAGCTAGGGATAGGAGTGGGAGATGAGGCCCTGACTCTGCTCCTGGCCACCCCCCATTCTTCTCCCTGTCTTCCCCTGGGGACCCTGCCTGTGGGTCCCATGATGCTCCCTCCAGCCCTATGTCCCCACAGGCTCATCGCCTCAGGGGTGATGATGCGTCCCTATGTGGAGGCCAACATCTCCCACAAGTCCCACACCACCATCAAGTACTTCCTAAAGATGTGGAGCAGCATCAGCGAGACCCTCATCTTCATCTTCCTGGGCGTCTCCACTGTGGCCGGCTCCCACCACTGGAACTGGACCTTTGTCATCAGCACGCTGCTCTTCTGCCTCATTGCACGGGTGCTGGGTGAGCGGGCGGGCCGGAGCAGGGGGGTCTGGACAAAGAGAGCTGTCAGTTCCTAAGGCTGGAGTCCAGGAGGCCGGCGACTTTCCCCGGGCTCAGTCTTAGGGAAGGGAGCCCCTGATGTCACGCTGCGAAGCCTCAGTGCGGCCACAGAGCCCTGCAGGAGCTTAGCAGTGCCCTGGGCTGGGAGCAAAGTTGTGTTGGGAGGACACATGAGAATCACATGATACAGTCCCTGCCCTCAGACTTCACAGTCTCTTTGGGAAGAGAGGACACATGTATACACTTGACATAAACATTTAAGCTAATACAGTACAAACCAAATCGTGGCACAAGAAAGCCCTGACCTGGGAGTCCCAAGGCCCTGGCACCTACCTTCTAGGACCTTCAACCTCAGTTTCTCCATCTGTAAGAGGAGGGGCTTAGAGCAAATGATATCTTGGGCCCTCCCGTGTTCTGTGGCCCCCTCCCAGCTCTGACATCCTATATTCTAAGGGCCCTCCCAGCTCTGACATTCCATGTTCTAAGGCTCCTCCCTCCTCAGCTCTG